CTCTCTCTCTCTGTGTCCAGTACTAACCTGTGAAGTTGGCGCCTTGATGCAGGTACCACGAAGATGGAGCTGGAGCGATGGCGCCACAGGTAAGTAACACTGGCCTCCGCAGTCTCTCTCCCACTCCACGATCTACCACCTACTAGCGCCCAGCGCTGAAGACTACAGCTACAGCTATGGCGCCCAGCGCCGAAGACTACAGCTAGCGCTAACTACAGCCTAGCGCTGAAGACTACTGCAGCGCTCCTCCTGAGTGCTGCGGCCGAATCCTGAAGACTACTCGTGCCTACTGAACACTACATACCCGTGAAGTGCATGGGAACCTCCTATGTACTACGGGTGTGCCTCTTGAGCCTGCCGAAGGGAGGCAGGGGCTGCAGCTGCAGCTCCTGCTCGAACACGTGAGGAACAGGCTATTTTGGGCCTGTTCTTCATCCCTGTTTTCGTGCGTGAGTCTTAGGGGCAGGTCGAAACAATGAGGGCCTGAAAATGGCCCTCCGTTTCAGGCTGAAAACTCTGGGTCTGAAAAGACCCAGAAATAGGCTGAAACGAGGTAGGGCCTGCAGGCCCTCGTTTTTCAGCATCCAGGCTGAAACGAACCGGGCCTGTAAGCCCTAAGTTTTAGGCTTTTAGGCTGAATGTCCGGGACGGGCCCTGCAGGGCCCGTGTGGCTACGCAGTATGCCACAGTGTGTGTGCGGGTACGGTAAGAGTGAGTGTGCATGGGATATCCAGGGAGACCCAGAGTGGAGTGTGTGTAAACAGTTGCTGTGAATAGAGAGTTGGAACAGTAAAGTGTAGGCGCTCAGGCACTATAGCCAATTTGAAGCGAGTTTGTATCTGAGCTGTGTTCTCGGCTATAATATCTCTGAGCTTTGTGTGGGCGCCTGGCGCCAGCGTGGATTGTCGCCTGTTTGCATGCATGCGAAGTAAGCAAGAAACGAGTCTGATTGCACAACTCTGCAGACATGGGCCAGTGTCAGGTCCAATACCACAGACATAGGTTCAGCCTGTCCTCTGTCATATTGTGCCAGTCCTCCATCAGATTGTGTCAGAGGAACATGAGCAAAGACAAAAGTCGATGGATACCCACCTGGTATGCCTCCTGACCACATGTCCTGCAAATGCATAAAACATTTTGTCAGATTTGCACAGCTAACACGTAGGTGGACACATGTGTCAGACATTAGCAGAGACGACACAATGACCCAGGTTGTCAGATGCCCACGTCTAGCTTCTGCTCGGCACACCCCTCACTCATACAGCCCCCTTCACCATACCCTTTTTCCCATTCATCCAAATTTGCATACAGCTAGCAGCTTTGTCGAACACATGCACAAAGACCAAAACAACTAGGTGGATGGCTGCCCAGCTTCTCAAAAAACACACAAAACAGAGCTGAAGCAGTGCAAACCGAGACCGAATGCAACACACTCAGAAAGAGTCTGCAGTTCAAACTCTTGCCTGAAGTCTCACTCTGTGAAATCGACAATCATGCATCCAGTACACTGACAATCTGCTCTAAGCTAGCGACAATGGCAATCTAGATTGCTGAGAGCAGCATCACAACGCATGTTTCTCTTACCCATGAGGAGTGGCCTTCTCCCCACGCCACTACTTGCCGGTCCTCCATGCTCCAAACTTGCACAAGATCGTCCTCCCCACCAACCAGGACATATTTTGAGTCCTTGCTGCCAGAAGAAACACACAGCACAAACAGTGATCACTTGAACTCACTCAACCACACAACATTTTAAAGAATTTAAGCGTGGACTCCGTTTTGCCCCATATTTGTTAGGACTGACCCAACATTCTGAATGCCTCGGGAACCATCGCTAGATCCACATACATTTAGAATGTTGTGCTGTGAAGCTTCGAATTGCACACTTGCAGACAGAAAACCTGTTCCACACAGAGCTCAAAACACCCTTGGCTCAACATCCATGAACAGCTGAGCAAGAAGCGAGATCCTTTTCCCTCCCAACTGAGCGAGAAAACACAGCAGCACATAGCCAGTGCCTTACGAGCACGCGTGCTCCACATTAAAAAAGCACAGACAGAGAAGTTCCCAGAAGTTCCCAGAGCTGTATGCCATAATGGGAAGAGGAGAACACAACTCTGTCCCCATAGGTGCGCTCTAGCACAAGCAACCCATGTGGAACAAACAATGCAAACAATGCAATCAAATTCCCTTCTCAGGGCATGTCCTCGCGAGTCCACGCCAGGCTATCCATATCTTTGCACAGATCAGCTGACTGAATTCCTCATGGAATAGCAGCACGCGCTACATTCTCATCTTGGAAATGCTGCCAGGAAAGCATGTCACACACTCCCTTATTCACTCACTCGCACTCCTCGGCACCGCAGATTTATATTACGTAGACCTGCTGGTACTGCAGTTATGCAGTTGCTCTTCGCATAGCTTGTATGTACTATGTAGTATGCTGGTGTACCGAAGTACCACACCTATTCCTTAAATGTCTGTGTAGTCTAACAGTAGATAAGACCATCCAGATGATATGTTGGTATATGGCTTGTACCTCTAAGTACTATGCCTATTTCTCGATCCGCTTGGTCTACCAATAGGTGAACCCCTGAATAGAGCTGATGCGTCGATATATACTTCAAATTGAGATTAATTTCAAGGTTCTACACAGGTACAGATCCTTTGTGAAGAGTATAGACTACATACAGATACTTTGCAAAGAGTTTGGGTCTCTGGTCTTTGTAAGTACTATGTATGTTACTATATCCGTGTGAGATTCGTATGTGTGTGCTATGCACTTCAGTGGACTATGTTTGTGTGAAGTTGGTATGTGGGTACTATGTACTTCTGTGCGAAATTTGTACGTGGGTACTATGTACTTCAGTGGACTGTGTTTGTGTGAAGTTGGCATGTGGGTGCTATGTACTTCAGTTGACAAGTTGACATACTTGATGGATCAAACTGCACAGGTGTGTTCCTTCCTACCATTTAGCTGTGTGACCCTCTTTTTTTTTGTTTTTTCTAAAAGATGGGGACAGCCCCTAACTTTATTATTGCATCCTTGCATGCAACTGGGGAAATTTCAGGCAGTTGCACAGCGCCAGTTGGTTGGAAGCGCCCAGGCCCAGGCTGCCTTGCATTGCATGTAACTGAGGCAGGCCCTGGGCCGGATACACGAAGTGGACCGAACAAAGGCTGAGGGCAGTTGGGTGCTGGTAACCACCACAGGCCCTGGGACTGTTGACTTCGGACTGAGGCTCAGCCTCCCTGGGCCTACCAGAAGCTTCTGGGCCGGGGCCCAGTACCGCAGCACAGCATGCAGCAGCAGGCCACTTCGATATAGGGAAGGGCCTGCCTACGGATTGGATATTCGGGCACTGGCTGCTTTGTGCGCAAGCGCTGCTGCGCTATCGCCTGCCAGGCTGTCCAATCTTCTCATTGTCAAGTTCGTATGTGTGGTGATGTTCCGGTTCATACATAGTTGATCTCTCCTTCATGTGCAAGTGCCTCTCACTAGTTCTAGCTTCTCATTGTCAAGTTCATGTATGTTGTGATGTTCCGGCTCCTACTTGGTTGATCTTTCCTCCATGTGTATGTGCCTTTCACTAGTTCAAGCTTCTCATTTTCAAGTTCATGTACGTTGTGATGTTCCGGTTCATACTTAGTTGATCTCTCCTCTATGTGCATGTGCTTTCCACTAGTTCAAGCCTCTCATTGTCAAAGTTCATGTATGTTGTGATGTTCCGGTTCACTCTTAGTTGATCTTTCCTCCATATGCATGTGTCCTTCATTAGTTCAATCTTCTCATTGTCAAGTTCATGTATGTTGTGATGTTCCGGTTCACTCTTAGTTGATCTTTCTTCGACATGCATTTGTCCTTCATTAGTTCAATCTTCTCATTGTCAAGTTCGTAAGTGTTGTGATGTTCCGATTCATACATAGTTGATCTCTCCTTCATGTGCAAGTGCCTCTCACTAGTTCTAGCTTCTCATTGTCAAGTTCATGTATGTTGTGATGTTCCGGTTCATACTTAGTTTATCTCTCCTCCATATGCAAGTTGCCGTAATCTGCAAATCTGCAAATTCTGTGATTTTCTGCCAACTGTGTTTGCTGCAAAATCTGAGTTTTCTGCATATTAGCTGTAGGATGAGATGTTGTAGACTGTGTTTTGCCTTCAGGGGTTAGGAAGTATGTCGGGCAACGAACCCGGACACTTGGGCTAGGAGACGACGCGGAGCCAAGCCACCTTGTACTTGTTTTCACCTTCCACCTTCTTCCCCCACCACCTCCATCGTCCCTCCAACATGGCCAGCCACCTTCCACCTCCTTCTTCCACCCCCTCCGTCACCCATCCACCATAGCCGACCACCTTCCGCCTTCTTCCTCCTCCATCTCCCTCACCCATTCACCATAGCCGTCCACCTTGCCCGGGACGTCCAAAGGACAACCCAAAACACCTACCTTCTTCCTCCACCACCTCCATCACCCATCCGCTATAACCAACCACCTTCCACCTTCTTCCTCCACCACCTCCATCACCCATCCGCCATGGCCGGTCACCTTGCACCTTCTTCCTCCACCATCTCCTTCACCCATCCGCCATAGCCGCCCACCTTGCCCGGATGGCCAAAGGACAACCAGAAACA